TGTCAACTGGCTACAGTTCATTTGGCTGCCAGCCTGCTTGGCCTTTTGCATCATCCTGGCCTGCTCCCTCCTCCCTCAGCTACTGGTTAGTCCGTCATCCCAGATTTTTCAGGGAAGATTTGGGGTGTGCCTGTGAAGTTCCTGTGCCTTCCCCTAAGGCAGCTTTGGAATTATCTAGACCATGAGCAAATGCTGCATGGTTTAGGAGGGCGGCTCCTGGGACTTCTCCTGTTTGCCAGTGCAGAGGAGGAAGGACCAAGCGTGGCAGAATTTGGCCGAGCGCCAGGCACTTGGATCTGTACAGCCAGTGTTGGTGGGCGTGGGGGGTGCTCGGCGTTTGTTGCTTCAACATGTTTTAGTGGAGCACGTACTATGCGCCTGGCATGTTCTAGACCCTGGGGATAAAGCAGTGAGCAATGCAGATGAAAATCCCTGCCTTACGGGGCCAACATTCTGAGGTGGGAAGGGGAGTGAGGAGAAGAGACAGACAAATAAACTTAAAAATAGCTATGTGAGGCGCTTCCCTGGCGGTCCAGTGGTTAAGAGTCAGCACTCCCAATGCAGGGGATACGGCTTCGATCCCTGGTGGGGGAGCAAAGATCCCACGTGCCAGGCCACGCAGCCAAGTTAAATGAATGAATGAATGAATGAATGGCTCTGTTAAAGGTTGCTATGGAGAAAATTACAACAGGCGAGAACCTGGCCGTAGGGGGCCCTCTTCCCAGCACCCACGCGGTGCGTCCCTGACTCTGACCTGTCCGGCTCGTCAGGGCTGTGTCTGAGTCCCGCACCTCCCAGCTGTGTCTGAGTCCCGCACCTCCCAGCTGCAGCTGATGGGGGCTGCTAGGATGGGAAGCGCTCCTAGAATAACCCGCCAATCCTGCCGGCAGGAGTTATGCCCCAGGAGGCAGACTCCACCCAGTGCAACTCCCTCCACCCAACCCTGGCAGGATGTCCTCTTCTGCTATCTTTTCTCCTCCTCTCTCCCCCAGATACTGACTATCTGACCCCAGCCATTCAGACCTGCATAGTCCAGTGCAGGCACTAGTGGGGAGACCAACTGGCAAACAGACCACGGTAGTACAGAATGCTGAGATCTGGCAGGGCCTGTGTAGGGTCTCTGGGAGCCCTGGGGTGGGGCTGGGGCAGAGTTTTCTGTAGGGGGCTGTTCTGTGCATTGTAGCACGGTCGACAGCATCCCAGGCCTCGACCTGCCACATGCCAGTAGCACCCTACCCCCAAATCAGGACAACAAAAAATATCTCCAGACATTGCCAAATGTTCCCTTTTGCAAATTGCCCTTCACATGAGAACCACCAGTTTAACTCAACGTCACTCAACTTATTTGACCAAGAAGCACCTTTTATTTTGGGGAACACCTGTTAACACTGCACGTGACTGTGTTATTCCGAACACTCCGGGAAGTGCAGCCCAGGGGAGGGTGCACAGCATACAGAGCAGCCGTGCGGGATCTGGAGGTGAGGGGTTCAGAAACAGCTAGTGGGCGGTGGGCAGCGTTTCCCAGTTACTTCCCTGCCACAGAGTCAGGGACTTGGGATCTGGGCCCTGGGTGGCCCTCTGGCCATACCCCGCACCACATCGGTCTCTACTTTTTACTTCAGTAAAGCCCAACAGTTGGCAGCTGCCTGTATGCACTCTGCATTTTATGCCCTGGGCCTTTGCTTGGGCTGCTCCCACTGCCTAGAGTGCCCTCCCCACCTGTCCTTGCCTGGCTCACTGAGTCATTCTTCAGGATTCCACTTGGGCGTCACCTCCTGCAGGAAGCCTCCCCTGATGCCCAGACGGGACTGAGGACCCACTTTGCTCATGAACTCCCATCACACCTGACCCATGGTCTTGCCCTCCTCTGAGACCTGAGACAGGACCTGTGGTCCTCTAGTCCTCCAGCCCTATAGTGTTGGTTGTTTGGGGTTATGGGCCCACTTCTCCCACTTGACCTTCAAGACAGAGGCTCTGTTTTCATCTCCAGAACCTGGCAAAGAGTCTAGCACAGAGTAGATGCTCCATAAATGGCAAAATGAATTGACAAGTAAACAGAGCACAGAGATGGATGAGATACAGAGAGTGAGGACAAGAGAACACAGGCTTGGAGGAGGGTCAGAGCCAAGGGGCAGTCATCTTTCTACAGCAGAAGGGACAAATGATGAAGTGGCCTGCCCCTCATTCCTCTTTCCTTCAGGCTAAACACTTCAACTGCCTTAACCTTTCATCCCGCATCCACCTCACTTCCCAGCCCTCTAATCATCTTTGTCGTTCACATCCCTCCGTGCCTTCTCTGCACTTTCCAAAGGCCACTTTTGTGTTTAATGTGACGTGTTCAGAGCAGCAGGAATACGAGCCTGTTTCCCCGAGAGCATCACTTCCACTTCATTAGCTTGGGATTCCACAGTTCCCGAAGCCTCACCACCACTGGCCTGGTGGCTGTGGGAGCAGCCCTGCCTCTGGGCACCAGAAAATTGTTCACACAGAGAAGTGAATGGAGAGAACTGAACTGGTGATTATGCTAATGATTTCCTTTTCTGTGTCAGGACTGCTCCACAGGGAGGCCGGGCTTCTGGGTCTAGAGGGCAGAGGTGCAGGATGTGGAGGGGGTACCAGTCCTGGAAAGACTTGGTGCTCTGAGCTGGGGGGTGGAAAGTCCACACTAGAGGAGACATCTGAGGGATGTGGCATCTTGGCGGAGTTAGTGCCCTCAGCTGTGACGGGGGCAGGATAGGGGTCCAGGGCCTTCACAGATTCAAGGCTCTCGAATCCACAGCGGTACTGTGAAGCCGTGATGGACAGGTGGAGGGACAGTCCCTAGGTACCGGCTAGGAGCTAGAACACAGGAACAGCGAGGAGGTCATTCCAACCCAGATCTTGTTAACTCCCAGTCCGAAGGACTTCCATTACCCCACAGCCCTTTCTCCTGGTGGACCCAGTGTCAGAGACAGAGGAGGTAGTGCTGGGGCAGAAGCCCTTTAGCAGCCCTGATATCACATGACAGAGGCCCAGCGCGTGGCCAGCCAGCCTTAGACTCCCAGGCTGCGGCACCCTGGCCAGCCTGTCGGCCTCTCTCGTTGGCAGTGGCTTCAACCAGTTGGAACCTGTGCTTCCTCCTCATGTGCCTTCTGTCCAACCTGCCTGTGCCGCCCGCCTCGGCTCGCCACACGGCAGCTGCCTCGGGAGCCACGTGGACCCCTCACCCTTTAACAGCCCAGCAAATTCCAGCCACATTGGCTGCTGTTCATCACTGGGACTGGCTGGTGTTCGTCAATCAGACCATCATCGGTCAGTCAGTCCGTCAGTCAACAAATGTCTGTTGAGGGCCAGGCACTGTTCTGGGTGATGGAGATACAGAGGAGAATGAGGCAGAGCTCCTGCTCTCGGGGAGCTTGTTCCCGTCCTCAAGGGGTGGGGTGGGGACAGTTTAGTGCAGGGAGAGGCAGAGGACCCTGTGGGCTCCAGGACCTGCCTCGCTCTTTAATGAAGTCCAGCTCCACTGCAGACACTCAGAGGTAGCTTTTAGGTGGGCGATCCCGAGGAGGCTGCTGCCTGGGCTAATGCCCCCTGGTTCCCCCAGGATGCATGGAAGCAGCAGGAGATGCCTCTCACTCACACACGCACACCCATACACACACATACACTCTCACACACAAGCTCAAGTATGCTCAGTAAGAGGCCTGGGGGTTCCTGAAGGGACACAGGGTCTACCGGTTCTGCCCGTGGTGGTGGGTTGAGGTCATTTAGCCTGGAAGTGGTTTCCAAAATTGACTGCTCTGGCCAAACTTCATGCCACATTGATGGGAGGCACCAGGTGGAGAGATGAACAACACAACTGGACACCCAGGTGCAGGATGGGGCGAGTGACCTGAGCCCTCTGGGCCTCATTTTCCTCTGTGAAGTAGGGACTGCACTAAGCCTGCCTCACAGGAGGGTGTGTGTGGATTAAAGATGCACAAAGTTAGCATGGAGGGCACATGGCAAGGGCTCAGTAAATGGCAGCTCAGTTGCCTCCCTGCCCCCTCCAAAGGAAGCCTTCTCTCTGCCTTCTCGTTCACACCTCCTTGGCAACTGTCCAGGGTCCCAAGAGTGCGCTGCCTGGGAAGAATTCAGTTACAGAAATACTAGGCCACATCCGGAACTTCCCTGCTGGCAGCTGGTCCTGGATCCTGTGCCTCCCCTGGGAGCGCTGTGCTGCGTGTTGCTGGCTCTGTCACGCCCCTGGTGGTGGCCTCGGGGAAGTCACCCAAACTCGCCCAGCCTCAGTTTCCACCCCGTCAGCTGGGGATAAGAGTATCTCCCTCAAATGCTAGTTGAGAGTATGAAGTAATACAGTGTAGGAGTGGCCACCTTTCTTTATTCTGAAGAAAGCATGAGAGGACAGAGCACCAAAGGAGAGGACAGCAGGAAGCCAAGTGGAGGAGCCAGGAGCTGAGGGGGGCGCGTGGGGCCCGACCAGAGTCAGCACAGAATCCTAGCAGCCGCACGCGGGAGCTCTCACTGCCTGCTGGCGCTGTGCTCAAAGCTCTGTACCCACCGTGCCTCACCGAATCTTTACAAAAGCCTCACGGGTTAAGTATTATCCCATTTCACAGATGGAGAAATGAGAGGCTAGAGAGGTTAAGGAAGCTGCCTAAGATTGCTCAGCCTGGAACAGGCAGAGCCAGGATTCAACCCCAGCTGTCTACCACCACGGTCCCTCCACAGTGCTGCCAGCTCGGGTGAGGGGCAGGGTCTGTCCCAGCTGGGCCTGGAGGCCCTGAGTCACTGCATCCCTCATCTGTGAAGTGGGTGTGAGCATTCCAGCTCTGAATGGAATGTGTGACATTGATTTGAGGGTCCTTGCCCCTCTCTAGCCCTGAGAGGGAAGCACTTTGTAAACAGGGGATTACCTATTGGCCCTGCCGCCTTGAGCCAGATCTCTTGTCCTGCCAAATTGTTGGAATGGTTCAGTGACAAGTGTGTTCTTAGGAAGAAATTTATGATCCCTTTTTCAGAGTGAGTCACCGAATCCCTGTGGTGAGAGGCACGGGGGAAGGGCCTTCTGCAGAGATAGGCTAACTCGCCCTGGGCCTGGCTGCCTCCTCAGGCCCACCTGAGGGTGAGTGCTGTCCAATGAGGGTGAGGGCAGGGGGGAAAGGGAGAAAGCCTCCAGCTGGGGAAAGTGGATGCCTCGCAGTGGATTTGTGTAGATCTCAAAGGGCTCCAGAATTCACTTTCTGCCTGCCACCGAATTTCCTAGGGTGCTTCTGAGTCAGGCTCCGGGTCACTCCCTGAGCCCTTTCCAAGGCTTTTGCATAACCCTCCCAAAACAAGGTCAGCCAAAGAATATTTCACAGTTTGGGTGAATCCTCTTCTCTCTACCTTTGAATCACAAAAGAGGAAGGTGATAAAAATTTAAACTTAAGAGAGAGGAAGATTTAGCTTAGGTGTTGCAGTTCTGTTGGGATTGTTTTTTTTCCCTTAAAAACTATACACTGCCATGATCATGAGGAAAGCTCCAGCCTTAAAAGTTGACTCTTTTGGTCATAAATGTGACTGTGTTAGAAGGACTAGTATGAGAAAATGTCTGTCGAAGAATAGCAGGTAATCTCCTTAGACAGATGTCACTGAAGGTCACCTGACAAGGCCGACCCTCCCCTGTCTGCTCCTGGGTGCAGCGTGAGGACTTCTTTGATGTACCCAAACCCACAGGTTAGGATGGAGCACACACACAGGGCTCAGGATACTTGGTCTGCAGACGTTGAAATGCCCGTAGCATGGACACTGTGAAAACCAGCTCACTTCACTGGTGGTCACTTGTCTAGTCATCCATATTTTGCAAACAGCTAAAGGTCAGGATGCAAAAGCAGACTGCTGGGCAGCAAAAATTGGAGTCCATAGTGTCGTTCACTGTGAAGCTCACCCCCTCTCCAACAGGAGAGCCCATCTGGCTTTTTCAGGTACTGTTGACTCCTACTTTAATCGTAATTCTAACATGATAAACGCTTCTATTTCTCAACCCAAACCACATTAGAAGGATATAAGTTGGAAGGACAGAAGAGCCTCTAGAGCTGAGATGTTCAGTACTTTGAGGGTTAATGACCTCTCTGAGAATCTAAACTGTGAACTCTAGCCCCAGAAAGGTGCTTTCACATCCAGTGTGTTCTGTGCAGTACCAGGTGGTTCTTAGCCCCTGAGGCTCAACCATAAAACCCAGATTAAGAACCCCAGCTGTAGAGACTGGCACACCTGTGAGCTGACCGCTCGGACCTTGGAGAGCAGACACAATGACTCTAACCCTGCTGCCTGTCCCTCGCCTGATGGAGCAGACGCCGCCATCCCTGACAGGTGGTGGTGTTCCTCACAGTGGCCCTGTCAGGGCCCAGGTGTGCTTGACGCACCCACCTAAGCAAGCAGGGGTGCACGTAAAACATTTGCTGAGCGTGTCTGATGTGTCAGGCGCTCTTCTAGGGGCTTTATCTGTTTTAATTCATTGAACCCTTGCAACAGCCCTGGAAGTTATTTCTGTAAAACCCTGGACTTAAACTCTTTTTCTCAAACTCCATCTCTAGTGGTTAAATCATTAGAAATGTAATATTTTTCCAGAAAAATCACTTACTGATACTATTGGACACTTGCTTTGTGTCAAACACTGTGCTAAGTGTGGATTTTACATGTGTTAATTCATTTATTTTACATTTTTATGGATAAGGAAATTGAGGCTCAGAGAGTCTAAGTAATGTGCCTAAGGTAATAGGGCTGTAAGTAGTGGAACTGGGATTTGATCCAAGTTTCTCCATTTCTAAACCCTTCGATAGGAGTTATTGTGCTCTACTCCTCTCTCCATTGTGGGGTTATGGTCTATATACTCACAACTACCTAGAACGATGGAGGTTTGGTTAGCAAAGCTCTGAAAAGAATGTCTAGGACAATTCCTTCAACGGATTTGTCGGGGCCCAGCATTAATTTGCCCACTGCTCACCCATGCTGTATAATCTGCCAGTCCAGGACACAGACCCTGGTGGTGTGGGGTAATACAAAGAGCAAGGAAGACTTCCAGTTAAACATGGAGGCTTGATCTCCTGCATTTATTTTCTCTCCCTCTATCATAGATTTTTTTTTTGTAAAGATGGCTGCAACAATTTTTCTTATTCTTGCATACATACCCCTTTACAGTGCAACTTTGCCACTCTTCCCATCAAGAAAAAAGGTCTTGAATCTGGGTTGACTTGCTTTGACTGATAGAATTCAGTGGAAGTGATACTGCATGACTTCTGAGGCTCGGCCTTAGGAGATCTTGCAGCTTCTGCCTTGAATCTTTTGGAACATTGCCCTGAGATCATGTCTTAAGAAAGCTAGTCTAGTTTATTGGAAGATGAGGGGCCAGTGGAGGAGAACCGAGGCATCCCTGTCAACAGGCAGCAGCAGCCACCAGGCTTATGAACAGTCCAGCTTGTATTTTCCAGCCCAACCAACTGCTAACTGAATGCAGCTGCATGAGCGAGCCCAGGTGAAACCATCAGAGGACCCACCCAATTAACCCACAGCATAATGAAAAGTAGTAAATTATTGTTGTTATAAGCCACTAAGTTTTGGGGTGATTTGTTATAATGATCATGGATAACTGATACAGCCCTCCTAAATTCTACGTCATTCCCCTCTTTCCCCAAATAGCCACTAATAGTGGAATTCCAAAGGCTTTAAGCCAAAAGGGTGAAGAGAAGAGAGAATACCATTGCAGGGGAAAGACTTCCAAACGCTTTCCAGATGGGCATGTGGGTAGAGGAGCAGTCTCTGAGTGGAGCTGGGAAAGTCAGAGTCCACATGTGTACAAGAGAGGAAAATGATGAGAAGTGGACCAAGGAGCCCCACAGAGTCTGCGAGGGTTGGGTGCTAAGAGGTACCAGGTACCACAGAAAACAGGAGTGAGGCCCAGGGCTCAGAAATGCAAGCACCACCCCCTCCTGGTCTCTTTTTCCATGCAAGAGACCAAAAGCCATTATCTGGAGAAGATGACTTGGAGATGCTCTGGACTCCAGGACTAGTCACAGCAGAGGGTGACAGTGAGGTAGGAGCTTGAAAACTGGGAGAGTAATCAAAAACTAAGTAAATTATGGCCCCTTAGACTCTCTGCCTGCTCCCAGGACACCAGCAGCTAAGTGTCACTTCCCTTCCAGGCAGACGATGGAAGATTCTTCTCTGGATAGATTGAATTCTTCATCACCCCCATCCTCTGTTCCTAGGAAAGGATCTCCACAAAATGTTACTTGAGGTTTCCCAGTAAAGCAGCCTTCTAGCCATCTGGTCACCCTACTGTGAAGTCTACTAGACTATAGGCTTGCCTTGCTCTTTAATATGGAGGGTCATCAGACATTTGAAATGAAAGAGAGGTCAAAACAAACAGAAAAGAAGGAAACAACATACAGCAAGCCGAAAAACCTTAAAATAACTTTTTAGAAGAACCTATAAAGTAGTAACCTCAGGAAAATATGACATAAAAATAGAACTCCGTGAGAAAGGAACAGAAAAGAAAGAGTTCTTGAAAAATTTAAATATGATAACTAAAGTAAAAAAAAAAAAAATCTCAACAGAAGGTGCCCAGCACAGTAAGCAAAAAACAAGTTCACCCCAGAAGCACATCAGTATCAAATTTTAGAACACAAAGGATAAAGAGAACATCATGAAAGCCCCAGAAAGAAAAAAAACCCTAACAGACAAAGGAATGGGAATTAGAAGGGCATCAAACTTCTCTCCAGATACACTGGATAGAGCGTAATGGGAAAATGCCCTCAAAATTCTGAAGGAAAATTATTTCAACCAGGATTTTATATTCAGCCAAATGATCAATCAAATGTGACGGGAAAGTAAAGACACTTTTAGACATGCAGGACTCAAAACCTGGGCTCATCGTGAAAGAGGAAGCCCATGGCATCCAGGAACAGGGGCTCTAGCAAAGGAAAGGGCAGAGGGAAGTCTCAGGACCAAGAGCAAGGAGCCAGCCCAGCCTGAGCGGTGGAACCAGCACGGGGAAGGGAAGTTTCCGGGCCAAGGGACACAGGGCAAGGACTGGCAGATTATACAGCATGGGTGAGCAGTGGGCAAATTATTGCTAGGCCCCGATAGATCCATTGAAGGAATTGGGGGAAATTGTTATACGTAGAAGAAACTAAGAAGTGGGAAAAGGGTGGGGGATTATTTTTGAAAAAATGCATGAGGAAAGGTATTTAGGTGGATATTTTGAAATCTAGAGTAAAAAGCAGAAAAAAAGAAGCTACTGAGTTGGAAGTGGTTGCTTCTGGGGAGCAGGGCACAGGAGTAGAGAGGGTTGAACTATGGGCCACTGGCTTTCACCATGCCTTTTAGCCCTATTTGATGTTTAACTATGGGAATAGGTCACTTTAATCAAATAAACATACATTTTTATGCAAAAATAAAGAGCATGGGCTCTAGCGTCCAATTACCTGGGTTCAGATCTCTCTTACTCTCTTACTGATGGCAGGGCCTGGCTTGAGCCAGTGGCTCCTTATCTACCTTGTTTACAAGGTAGATAAGTTTCCTTATCTACCTTGTAAAACTGAGGTGAGGGTTAAACATAATTTCTGTTAAGGGCCTGGCCCTTTACAGAATGTATGATCAATAAATCATAGCCATTATGATTTTTAAGACTTCTGAGAAATTCCATGGTAGAATGAAAGCAAACTCCACTGCCCCATGTTTGGGAGGAGCTGAGAAAACCTGGATAAATGTCACCTTTGTGTTTGCTAGTATGTTCTCCAGCTGTTGTAAAGCTGCAGACATTCTGCGGGCTCCCACCCCACCCCCTCGCGCTCTTGGTCACTAGTGTCATCACAGTCACCTTCCAGAGTGGCTTAGGAGAAGCTGGGCATGCGGCAGAGAGTGGCTTTTCACATAAAGGCCCGGTTCATTCCCAGGGGCTGCTTGCAGGTTTTCCTTCTGAAGCAGTCGTCCCTCACAGCAAGTTGCCTCCATGGGAGGGATCCAAAAGCAGCTCCAGGTAGGGACATTGGTGCAGGGCAGGCAGAAGGCAGCTCCAGGCTCAGCGGGGGGCGGGGAGCACGTGGGCATCAGGCAGAAAAGTCCAGTCCCTGACCTGCCAGGGTCCTGGGCTCAGAGCCACCACAGTGATCTGGTGCCCCACCCAACTAAGGGGGCCTCGAAGGAGGGCCTGGGGCTGCGTTTGCTCACCCCCTGGCCTAAATATATACACATACTTATTTAAACAAACATATTGAATGGGGAGAAGTCTGGAGAGAGAGAGGTACCCTAAAATGTTAACCAGAATTCTCTCTAAATGGTGGCATTTGAAGTGATTTTCATTTCTTCTTACTCATCTGTATGTTTCAATTCTGGTAAAATGATCATACATTCCCTTTGTAGTTTTAATTAATAATAATGACAATAAAGAACAAGGTGATGAATCCCTGAAAAGGGAATGGGTACATGAGGAAGGAAAGTTCTGTGGCCCCTAAAACGCACGAATGACCTTCAGCCTGAGAGACTTGGTAACAGCAGGGAAAACGCCAGCCCCCTGCCAGCCAGTGTTCCAAGATTTCAGAGACCCCTGCTTTGGGAGGGGTGCAAATGGGTGGTGGCGGGGCAGAATGACAGAAAACAGCTAAAGCCTCAATAACCCCTAATGCACGCAAGGTGCTGCTCTACGCTCGAACTCACTTAATCCTCACAGTGACCTCTTGAGGTAGGGTCACTTGTCATCCAACCTTAGTTTTTCCTTTTCTCCTTCACAGGTCCAGCCAAATAGGAGTGACTTGCTGTCTCCCATACGTGACCCTTAGTTTCCACTTCCTTGGAATTTTGTCTCCATGCCTTTGTTCAAGCTCTTTCCTCTTCCTAAACGCTTCCTCTCCTGTTTTCACACGCATAACGTCTCTGAGAGGGAGAGCAAGGCAGGATACTAACTCTTTCCTCAAGTAACCTCCGTCCCCTCTGAATTCTTTTTTTTTTCCCCTCTGAATTCTTAGAATTCTCACTTGGCAACACCGTTCTGCCGGCTTCATAATTAGTGCTGCAAGTTATGTTACAGTACATCAGCCCGGGTGCTCGGAAGAGGCATACAGAGTGGGGCAAGACGTGGTCCCGGCCCTGAGGGGCTTTCTGCCAGCCTAGGGAGAAGATGCCAACACAGCCAAGTACCCACAATAGAGAAAGGCCTTTAGATTAAGTGCTAGGGAGAGGAAGAGGGTCTGGGTTCTGCAGGGAGGCCTCCCAGAGGAGGTCAAGTGAACCGAAGGGGCCTTGAAAGGTGCCTGGGATTCCAGCAGGTGGAGAGGGAGAGGAAGGGGCCCCAGCGAGGGAGGCAGGAGGGGTGATGCTGCGCTGTAGTTTAGGGAGCGTGAACTGGTAAGGGCAGGGTTCCCGCTGGCTCATCTTTGCCTCCCCAGAACAGTTCCTGGCCACAGGACACGTCTCTCCTGGCCCATGGTGAGTGTCACAGGGCCAGCCACAGTGAGCATCAGAGACACCAGGCTGATGCACTGCCCCGGGAAGAGCCTCCCCCCCATCTCACCAGGTAGTGCCCATAGTGTGTAGGCAGAGAATATCTATAAATGAGTGGTGGGCAGCCCATGAAAGGACTCCTGGGCCTGCTCCCAACTGTCAGGGCCCTTTGTGAGCTGCAGCAAGGCACTTCTCCTCTCTGGTCCTTTGTTTCCCCAGCTGTCAGGTGAGATGACCTTGAAGGTACAGGGAATCCTATGGCAAGGGGATGAAGCCCATCGGCCATGGAGCCAGGACGCCTGGGCACAAATCTCCAGCTTCCTGAGTGACATCAGTAAGTAAATCTCTCTAAGCCTCAGTTTCCTGCGTTGTAAAAGGGAACAGTAATACTGCAAAACCTAATCAGAACATCATTCGTAGGATCCCAAGAATTCAACCGCACAAAACTTGGAGTCTCGTTACAGTGAGGATTAAGAAAAGATGGGACACTTGGAGCTAATCGCATTGTGTCTGTTCAATTATTATGAGGTGTTATAGTAGGATTCTTGTGGATTAAATGTATATAATATATATATATATATATGTATATACAATATATTAAAAACACACAGTACATGTGCAATGGAAGTGACTAGCAGTAGTAGAACAAGAGCTCCCCAGCTGGCTAAGTGTGGGCTCTCTGAGAGAGGAATAGTGGGCTGGCTGGGAGCACGTCAGGGTCGGACTCTGGCAGGGCTGCTGAGCCTGCACTCCCTGAGGCCAGGAATCCTGACAGCCTGGCTGCTTCCAGGGCTGGTTCCGCTCTTCCCAAGGTTAGATCCTAGAAATCCTGGGGAAAACTCTGACTGGGACATTACCTCTGGGCAGGCAAGAAATGTTTTTCAAGTTCCCATGAGATAACTGGAGGACAGAGATGTCAATTAGAAACCACTCTCCCCTTTTTTGTTAAAAATACTCAGAATCGTGTGCGTTGTTAGTATCCCAAGCACTTATTCCCCTGTTAGCATCTATCACAAGAGAGAAGTTAAGCTCTTTTTCCACAGAAGGAAAGCAGTGTCAGAATAAAGCCAGCTCCTACCTCTCCAGCCCTGGCCCTGGCCATCCCCCCTCCCTGGGCGGGGACTGCAGAAGGCTTGCTGCGGGGGGGCAGGGCTGCCAGCCTCCTCACTCCCTACCCCTCACTGTGATGAGCTACCTCAGGCTATCTGCAGATGCCCCCATGCCAGGGGCAGCTCACGTAGGAGCCTGGATCCCACGTGCATCCTGGACAAGAGCTAGGAAAGGGTTTCCTGCTGCGATCTGGGCACAGCTCCATTCTGCATCTTATAAGCACAGGTATCAGAGTGGGAGAGGACCCTGGAGAGCCTCCCCTTTTACTAAATGAACTAAAGCCTAGAGAGAGGTTGTCCATGCCTCCCTGGCTCTCTGTCCCCTTTGCTGGTCCCTTCTCACCTCCCAATCTCTAAATGTTGGTGTGCCCTGGAGCTCAGAGCTTGGATCCTCCCACACCATCTCACAGACCTCACCCAGGCCTGCAGCTTTATGTACCATATGTATGTGCCTGCTGACAACTCTCAAATGTACATCTCCATTCCAGACTCTATTCTGACCTCAAGATTCATACATTCAACTGCCCACTCAGCTTCTCCACTGGGATGTCTAATAGGCACCTCGCTCCTCATGGGTCCAAAACTGACTTCCTGATCTTTTCTCCTCCCATAGTCTTCTCCATTTGAGTTCATGACAGCTCCATCATTGCTCAAGCCAAAAACCTTGGAGTCACTCTTGGCTTCTGTTTCTCTCACACTCACGCCCAATCCATCAGCAAACCCTTCCACGTACATGTAGATCCTGATCACTTCTCCCCATCTCTCCCTCACCCTGCTCCAAGCCACCATCAGTCCTGCCTTGTTTGCAGTAGTCTCCTTAGTGGTCTCCCTGCCTCCACCCTTGTGTCCTGTAGTCTGTTGTGAACCATCCCAGGAGGCAGACTATCCTGTGAAGATAGAGTTCAGCTGAGGTTTCCCCTCAGCGCAATGCTCTCCAGGGGTGCCCCATCTCATCCAGAGCAGTGGTCCATCTTATCTTTCCATCTACACTTGTAGGGTTCGCTGCCCGCTCACTCCACTCCAGCCCCAGTGGCCTCAAACCCACCAGGCGTTCTCCCACCTGAGGCCTTGGTATGTGCAGCTCCTCTGCTTGGGACTCTTCGCCCAGGTTTCCGCTTGCTCACTGCCTCCCGTCCTGGGCACAGCCTCGTTCCTGTCTGTATGCAAATGCCACCTTTTCGGTGAGGTCTTCCCCAGCCTGATTAGTTACAATTGCACCCCCTCCAATTTCTGTCCCCACTTTTTACTTTCTTTTTCTCCATGACGCTTATCACCGTCAAACATACTATAAACTTTATTTATTTTGTTTATTCTTTATCTCCTCTAATGGGAATGTAAGTCCCCTGAGATTAGAGATTTTTATCACACACACAGTAAGTGCTCAACAACTATTTGTTAACTGAGCGAATGAACAGGAATCAATGGTTCTGGTGCGTCTGCATCAGCTTTTCCCATGAGGACCATTGCACTTAGCCAATGAATGGAAGAGCAAGAAAACACCTAGATCACCAAGTTCAATACCTTCTTCACTTGAGGGACACTGAGATTTAGCAAGGAGGAGGATATCCCAAAACAGCACAGCACATTGACTTTAGAGCTGGGGCTGGGAATGGATCCTCCTGTCTCCCAAACAGAGCCTGTCCTCTGGTCCCCCTGCCACCCACGGAGGTCACTCCCTTCTGACAGCAATTTCCAGTCTCCTGAGCTATAAAATTAGAACAAGGAACCTACAGAAAACAAAGAAATGAAGTATGGGGCAGGGGTATTTTTAGGCTCGCTGGTTTCTAAGTGCATACATATATAGAAAGGTCTATACACATGGCTATATATAGGTATTAAATCAGGAAGTAAGTTGAGTGGTGGGTTAGCTTTTCTGGGGGTGGCCGAGTGAGGCTGCTGCAACACGGACAGTTTTGAGCCAGAGCAGCTGATTCCAAGGGAACTGGCCCTGCTGAGTCATCTGGAAGCCGCATACTTCACATTGAGTGTTCAGAAAGAGTCTGAGGAGTGAGAGCCTTCTTTTTCTTCCCCTCAGTCAGCCAGAAGTACCAGTGAAACTCCAAGGCCCACCCAACATCTTATGGTCAAAATCTCCCCAGTGCTGGCTTGCCGTCTTTGGGGGCAAATGGGGATTCTGAAGGGGGAGTCTGAGCAGTAACCTGGAGCCTCTGTGTCCCCAGTTGACCAGAGACACCTCCTGGGCTCTGGCCCCTTTGTCCACCAGGAACTTTCCAAGACTTCAGACCAGGCCTAAAAGATGAGACCTGGATTAGCATAACGCACTTCCTAATGGTCAGACGTTCTGTTTATCATGTATGGATCTCATTTTATATAACAACTTACTAGGAAGGTACTTTTAAAATTGTCTCCGTTTTATAGTTGGAGAAACTGAGGCACAGTGTGGGTAAGTGATGTACCCAGGTCTCTCAGCTTAAGTGGCAGACCCAAGCGGTCTAGCTCTACAGCCCATGCCCTTAGCCATCAGGCTGTGCTGCACTGGCAAGAGGGCAGGAAACCTGGGTATGTGTAGAGCATTTCTGGGGCTCTGAGATTCATGGCTGCATCCAGGTTTTGATGCTGCCGATCTTTGACTGGACTTTGAGCTAAGCAATGAACGTGTAGCAAGTACATTGGTTGCTTGTGGAAAGTGAATGGGGGCAGGCCTGTTCCTCCCACCTGGGGCAATCCAAGGGAAGTATCCTGATTCATGCTGTAGAAATAGGAGCTAGTGTCCTTTTGCAAGGCAGGAAAAGGACCAAGCACTAAAGCTGGGGCAGATCCCTGCCCTCACATAGCTTATGTTGTAGTTGTGGGACACGGACGATGACCACAAACAAATAAATGAGATAGTTAAGGTGGTTATAAAAGCCCTAGGGGCTTCCTTGGTGGCGCAGTGGTTAAGAATCCGCCTGCCAAGGCAGGGGACACAGGTTCGAGCCCTGGTCTGGGAAGATCCCACACGCTGCGGAGCACCTAAGCCCATGCGCCACAACAACTGAGCCTGCGCTCTAGAGCCTGCGAGCCACAACTACTGAGCCCACGTGCTGCAACTACTGAAGCCCGCACACCTACAGCCCGTGCTCTGCAACAAGAGAAGCCACCACGATGAGAAGCCCACACGCCGCAATTAAGAGTAGCCCCAGCTCGATGCAACTAGAGAAAGCCTATGCACAGCAGCGAAGATCCAGCGCAGACAAAAATAAATAAATAAATAAAATTGTAATAATAATTTAAAAAAAAAGCCCTAAACAAAATAAAACAAGGTAATGGAATGGTTATGGGTTCAGCTGTGTTCCCCCAAAAGTTATGTGTTGAAGTCCTAAGCCCCAGAATATGACTTTATTTCGAGATAGGGTCTTTACTGAGGTAATTGATTTAAACTGAGATCATTAGGGTGGGCTCTAATCCAGCATGACTGGTATCCTTATAAAAAGGGAAAATGTAGAGACAGGTACCCAGGGAGAACACCATGTGAAGTTGAAGAGAGATCAGAGTGATGCATCTACAAGCCAAGAACACCAAAGATTGCCACATGCCACTAGAAACTAGGAAAGAGGCATGGAACAAGTTCTTCCACAGCCCTCAGAAGGAACCAACCCTGCCGACCCCGTGATCTTGGAAACTTCTAGCCTCCAGAACTGTGAGACAATAAACCTCTGTTGTTTAAGCTACCAGTCTGTGGTGCTTTGTTATGGAAGCCCTAACAAACTAACACACAAAGAGTGTCTGGGGGAGAAGAGGATTAATTTAGCTAACAGATTGGGTTAGGTCTATCTGAGGAGGTGACAACTGGGCTGAAGCCTGAATATTGACAAGGAGATGCTCATGTGAAGATACACACCTCAGACATGGAAACTAACTTGGCATATCTGTGGGAGAGACGGAAGGCCCATGTGGCTGGAGCAGGGTGAGTGAGGGCAGAGAGGTTCAAGGAGAGGGAAGATAGGATAGAACCTTCGTGGAACGTGCTGGGAATTGGCATTTTACACTAATTGCAATGGGAAACCACTGGAGGGAGTGACGTGAGACCCGACTTTCCCCTTTGAAAGATCCCTCTGGCTGCTCGGTGGAAAAGAAATTTGAGGATCGGGTTAGGGGAGACCAGTTAGGAGTGTGAGGTTCACGTTCAGGTGAGAAATGAGTACCCTTGACTTAGGGCACTGGCAGAGGATGGGGGAGAAGTGGTCTGGTTGGTGATAAACTCTGGAGAACCCCGATAGGACTTGCTAGTCCTGGGATGAGAGAAAAAGAAAGGTACCTACGATGACCCCTAGGACTTTGGGCTAAGCAGCTGAAAGAGCAGTGGTGCTTCTTATGGTGGGAGTGGATAGAGTAGGGAGTTTCTTGAAGAGAAACAGCCAGTCAGCTCCCACCCAAATAAGATTTATAAGATGAGGCCAAAACAAAGATTAACGCGGCATAGTCCCTGTCCTAGAACTCGGAGCCTGAAGGAGGCAGACACATAAACAAATAATACCGACACACCGTGTGAAGTAGCTGGCAACACACAGCTACAGGAGTGACTCTGGGGAAGTCGGACAAAAGAGGAAAAGGTTTCTGTTTTACTTTTTCAAAATAATTTTGGACTTATATAAATGTTGCAAAAACAGTACAAAGAATTCCCAAATACCCTTCACCTGGTTTTCCCAAATGTTAACATCCTACAAATTTACAGTACAGTCATCAAAACCAGGAAATTAGCATTAGCTACAGACCCCATTCACATTTCATCAAGTTCCCCATTCGTGTTCTTCATCTTATCCAGGAGCCAGACCAGGATCACCCATAGCACTTAGTTATCGTGTTTCTGTAGTCTCTCTGGCCTGGGATAGCACCTTCATCTACTCGTTCATGGCCTTCATACTCTTGAAGAGTACTAGCCAGTTATTGTGTAGAATGTGCCTCAATTTGGGTTTGTCTGGTGTTTCCTCAGGTTGTGCATTTTGACAAGAACACCACAGAAGTGATGCTGTGCCCCTCTCAGTGCATCGTATCAGGCCGCACGTGAGGCTGATATGTTGTGGTACTCGTTATGTTGACTGTGATCACCCGAGTAAGGTGGGGTCTGCCAGGTTTTCCACTGTAAAGGTAGTCTTTTCCCCTTTGCTACTAATAGGCATCTTGTAGGGAACTACTTTGAGATGATGTAAGCATCCTGTTTCTCATCTTATTTTTACCCACAAATGTTTGTTTCCGTTGATGAGTCTTGCTTAAAACAATCACGACCGTGGGTGTCTGCCAAATGGTGGTTTTCTATTTCCTTCACACCTTCTAATGTTCATCAACTGAAATTTTTCTGTAAGAACCCTTTTCCCTTACTTGTTTATTCAAACATTTATATCAGTATAGACACATTATTTCCTATTTTTCTCTTGTTCTATAAGTTATAATCTGTTGTGATCTTTTTTTTTTTTATTTGCTCAAATTATCTCAGATTTGGCCATCGGGAGCTCCTTCAAGTTGGCTACTGTGTTCAACAGGAAAGTTTTGAGCAAAATTTATGACCAAGTTATGATAATGAGGCATAGGGACTTGTAAGGAGAAGGGAGAGGAGAGGCTTCCAGGCCTGGAGGGCAACCATGGGCTCTATACCCAGTGCTCTCTGAGGATGCTTGCCAGCCTCTGGGCTGGCTACTCCTGACCATGAGGGTCAGGAATATGCAGCCACGTGCCTTGTTCAGGTAGAGAGACCTCCACTGAAGGTGCCCCACCTCTGTCATGACCTTCCCAGGGACCAACCAGCAGGCTGCAGCTGCTACGGCACTTGGGCTGTTAATGCATCTGCCTGGCTTTGCCCAAGAGGGGCCCTCCGCCATGTGCACGGACACCTCCACCTCCAGCCACCTGCTGTCTGCTGCTGCCCCGCCAGACCTGCCGTCACCCAGGGGCGTGGGGTCCCCACTGCTCAGTCCCTAGCTGACTGAAGCGTGTTCCTTTGACCTCCTTGCCTGAAGGGGTTGTATCCGGGGAGGTGGCGAGGCTCTCAGAGCTGTGGAGTGACAAAACCACTTGGCCTGGAGACCATCTAGGTGAGACGGGCTATCGTTTTGACTGGCTAGCTGTCGTTTTTTCAATCCAGGGCCTCTGTGAAGTCTTGAGGGGATGCCCAAAAGGTAAAGTAGGTTGGAGCGGGCGAAGGGGCAGGGGAGTGGCAGTTGGATGACCATCATTCTGGTCCAGGCCCCTCCCCTGTTGACAGGGATGGAGCTGAACCCCAAAGGGAAAATGGCTTATCTAAGGTCACAGGGACACTTGGTGGCTAGGCAGGACCAGGACTCAGTGCCCAGAATCCTTGTGTCCTCCTCACCATTACACATTCCCAACCTGCTCTGCTTCTTGTTTATCAATGGCTGATGAGGCCGTAGTCTGTGTTTCCTTGTCCGTTTCCCTTGTTCCCACGGCAGGCGGAGAGACGGAGGCCAGTCTTCCAGCCCCTTCTGAGGCAGGGCCTCTAGGCACATGAGCAGCACTGACCCTTCACCCCCAGGGAAGGGGAGCTGTCCTGGGTCATTTAGCAAAGCAAGCCTGAACTCACCTTGTAATCTCTCCTGGCTGGAGGCCCATGACCTCACCCAGACCCATCACTAGAATCTGGCCACCTTTTCTTCCTTCTCTCCCTTCTCTTCCTTCAGTTCAGAATGGGAAGCCTCCTTTTTTTCCTCTTTTAAATTTCACATTAACCTTTAAGATAGGGTAAGCATTCACGTGACTCAAAATTCAAAATTTACAAAAGTTACGCTGTAAGAAGCCTCCTTTCCAGTCCTGTCCTTTGGACTTCCCCTCCCGGGGCAGTCACTGTGGTTCATAGGGTTGCTGCGAATTAATCCACAGAAAGCACTTAGAACCGTGGCGGGCACATGTTACACACACAGTGCGTGCTGCATCACTGTTTTTATTTTTAAACTCAATCATAGCTTTATCTCCCACACCCAGCACCCAAGTTTCACCTCCTCAGGCTCCCAACACTGTAGCCCTACTAGTTGTGACCATTTTGAACTCGGCCCATGCCTGGTGACCTTTCTGCATCCTGTCCCTGCTACTCCTTCAGGCTGGGCAAGCCCTCCCCACCCTGCCCCCTGCTGAAATGCCACCTATTCTCCAAAGCCCAGCTCAGATGCACCTTCCTTTCAAGGCCTCAGTCTCCTCCTCCTTTGTATTTCCCCATCCTTCTCGACTTCTGTGGTTGACTTTCCACAACCTCCTGCATTCATGTGAGAATCATATATGCTTTTGCCATCCCCCAACTCAGCTGTCAACTCCCTGAGGGCAAGGCCGGGATCTTTTTCATCTCTGAGTTCCCTGCAGCACTTAGCATGGAAACTTCCACGTGGGAAGTGAATAAATGCCTTTAAATTTAACTGCAAATTTGAACTCATTGGGGATGCAGAATGTGGACATGTGAAGAAATACGTACGCTGCCCAAGGTAGGACTCATTACTTCTCCATGGTCTAGAAGCCATACTTTTATTTTTTTTATAAATTTATTTATTTATTTATTTTTATTTTTGGCTGCGTTGGGTCTTCGTTGCTGCGTGCGGGCTTTCTCTAGTTGCGGTGAGCAGGGGCTACTTTTCATAGTGATATGCGAGCTTCTCATTGCGGTGGCTTCTCTTGTTGCGGATCACAGGCTCTAGGCACGCAGGCTTCAGTAGTTGTGGCTCGCGGGCTCAGTAGTTGTGGCTCACGCACTCTAGAGTGCAGGCTCAGTAGTCGTGGCACACAATCTTAGTCGCTACGCAGCATGTGGGATCTTCCCGGACCAGGGCTCGGACCCATGTCCCCTGCATTAGCAGGCGGATTCTTAAGCACGCCGCCACCAGGGAAGTCCCCAGAAGCCATACTCTTCTAATCAGAATGCACCAAGTTTTTCCCAAACCTCACAGGTGGGTTGGAGACCTGCTTTCTTCTGCTCACTCATTCCCTGTCATTCTGCATTTGATTTAACAAATCCTACAGTCCTGCAAACAATGTTTGCTTTGCTATAGCATCCAACTGTCTTTCATTCCTCCCAAAAGGTAAGGAGCAGGTGACAGAGAACCAACTTTAGTGCAGGACCTCATTAGCTTTGGGGCACAGACACACTACATGAATCAGAAACTTTCTACTCCTCACATAATGTGGCTCCAAAAAATCTAGTTAGGCTACTTTGCTTATAACCAAAATCTTCCTGAATACACTTGTGACCATATGTGTGACTGGAGCTCAGAGAAGAGGGCAAGGTCACCAGTCTACATATCCATAGGGACTATGTTGGGTTACATATAATAGAAATCCTAAATAACTAGTTTCTTCTTCCCTCATGTAACATAAATCCTGACGTCTGGTGGACCACACCCTCCATGGCAAAGACTTCCTCTACTCTTCTGCTCTGCCATACTTAGGATGTGACTTCCATCTTCCAGGTTGCCATATGGTCATAACATGCCACTGTGGCTCCAGACATCACATTCGCATTCCAGACAAGAAAAAGGAGAAAGATGGTAAGGGGCAAAAGGGCACAGTTGAGTCAGCCTCCTTTAAAGAGGTTTCTCAGAGCCTCTCCCAGCAACTTCTGTTTACATCTCACTGGCCATACCTGTGACCCATGCACACCCTAACTGCAGAGGAGCCTGGGAAATGTAATTTCTTAGCTGGGCACATTACTCCCCCAAATAAACTTGGGGTTTTGTTAGTAAGGAAAAAAGGGGGAGTAGGGATGGGGTTGGTAGTTAACTGTCTCTGCCACAATTGGGACAACTAAGGAAGACTTCATGGAAGAAATGGGCCACAGTAGGATGAGATGAGAACTTACCACATGCCAGGCACTTTATTAAAACAGGTTGGGGAGGGGAAGCTTCTGGTATCTTCACATGCCAGGGAGCGGTTCCAGTTTCCGTTTTAGAGATAAGGAAAATGAAAGCTAAAGCTATTCAATAATTCACTCAGGGTCATGTAAATGGCAGTCTAGATTCAAATTCCAGAATCTGCCAGGCTCCCTTGTCCCTGCCAGCCTTACCTGTCATCTGCCAGACTCAGTACATATGTAAGAGGAGGGAAAGAAGAGGGTTCAGAGATGGGGAGGCTCTCGGTGTGTTTCCAGGACAGAACTCTGACAGGGTCAGAAGGAAAAGAGAATGGAGAGGCCCAGATTGTTCCAAGTGGGTGTTTTCAAATGTAGGGATATCTTACTTACTTATGGGCTAATTGCCAGAAGAACTTAATCTGTTTTACACTTAGCATTAGCATGAAATAAAAGTTAAAAATCAAATGGAAACTGAGGAGACGTGTGGGGAATGAGAGCACCTTTTGTTGGGGACCCCAGAGACAGGGAAAGGGAGAGGGTGGGAGGCCCATGCCAGGCTGGAGGGCGAGTGGGGCAGGGGGTCTCTGCTCGCGCCAAGTCCCTCCTGCTCTGGGCAGCAGGCAGCACTCTGCCACCTGACAAGAGCTGGTGGGGCCTGACCGGCGAAGAGCGTGCCGGGCTGCTCTGGGTCCCGGGAACATTCCCGCCTCAGGCTGGCGGACTGCGCGCAGAGCGAAGGGGTCAGATGCATCTCTGCCCCTTAGGAGCTGGGTGACCCGAAGCAAGTTACTTCTCTGACTCTCACCCTCTGCATCTGAGAACTGAAATAATCCTACCTTGCAGGACTTTAGGGAGAAAAAAACAAGGTGTACATAGCCTGGCAAGTGCTTAGAAAACAGAACCTGCTAATTTCGTTAACATAATTATTATTATTGCTTTTGTCATTGTTGCTGTCTAGTAGATGACGGCACCATTGACTAAAACCTGGAATATAGAAAGAGGAACGGACTGGTGGAGGTAGCAGGGGAGGCTGAAGTTAATCAGTTACAGTATTGCCCTTTCAAAGAGAAGATGGATCCTGGCCCTGGCCTCGATTAGTTAATGCATTGAAGGGTTAAAAACAGGAAACAGAAAAAAACCGTATTCCAACCCTGTATAAATTTATCAGTAAACAGTCTGGTAAGCCCCTGTGATGTGCTCAGCATGGTTCTAAGCTCTCTGACAAATATATGAAAAGAAGAGTAAAAACTCAGTTAATCCAACCATTGGGAAATTGTGGCAGGTGAATTTTCTGGACGCCTGAAAATTTACCAGCCCCACACACTTTAGGCACTTTTTTCTTAATGTTAAAAATTGTGGATGGAAATATTTTTTAAGCGCACTGTTCTCATCCCTGGCTTCCTAGTGACTATCGAATACGTCGTCATTGAGAACAACATGTGCTCTGCTGTCTTGTGATAGGGTGATGGCCCTGGAGGCTGTGGGGTGAGGCTGGCTGTTTGCTTCTACCCTTATGGTCCCTGCACACTATTTTGTTTTTACATTTGCTTTTATAGTTTTTCTAGGTATTCTCTCACTGTCAGGCTTTTGTGTGTTAATTTTCCCTTCTCTTTTTGAGCCTCCCTTCTAGTGCTTTCACTTTATTGCTTCTGATGTGCTCTAGGTTTGGAGACCAGACATAAATGCTTCATCTTTTATAGCCCATCTCAGCCCAAAAAGGAATTAAGGGAACTGTTACAGTTTATCAAGTACCTACTATGTGCTGAGCATTTTACTAGCTGTTTTGCAGCCATTATTTCATTTTTTACCACAGCCCTGTGAGTTGGAAATTTTTATCTCCATTTTTTAGAAGTGTAGACTGGGGCTCAGAGAGTTTAAGCACTTTGCCCAAGGTCACACAGCTGCTGGTGAGTGGCCTAGCTAGAATTCAGATGCAGTGTGCCTGGTACAGGGACCATCCATGCTTTTCCCGGTGTGCTACACTGCTTTGAGTCTGTGGTAAATCACATGCTGTTCGCTGTTGCTTGTTACTGTGTTGGGTTGTGATAGCGTTATCTTCCTAAATATTATAGAACGTAAGCCCCTTGAGGGCAGTGACCTGGCTGCCCACTTACATACTGCCCACACCATTGCCTAGTGCCAGGATCCAGGTGGTCAACAGCTGCTTTACAAAGAGTGGGAGCCTGGAAGAATGGGGGCAAGAGAATGGAGTGGGCCATTGCCCCTTGGCACCCAGCACCTCATACCTCCCTGCTACCTAAAACCTTCAACTTGCCCCAGATATTCGCTCAGCATTTGCTGAGCCCAAATCTCCCTTAGCTTGAACCAGCAGCTGCGGAAGCAGCCCACGTGGTCCACTCTGGGTTGGGAAGGAGGAGTGGCTACCCAGGCTACTGGCCTCCCCCTGGGGACCGACCAACATGGAAGCCAAGCCCCGGTGAGACACTGCAGGGAGGTAGCAGCCCAGTGGGGAAGGCTGGTGTTGGGCCCAGGATTTTCACTAAGAAATTCTAGAGCAGGTACCTCTGAGTAAACTCCTACAGAACTTCTTTCCTGAAAGGAGAGTGACTGGAATTCCAGTGGATCCAACTTTCCAGCCCAAGCAAACAGCAGACCAGTATCCCAGCAGGGCCTGATTTTGCTAGGTAATGCTGGCTCTGAGTCTTCGCTTCTGTGACTCAAACTTTGAGGTGAGAAACTGCCCCATCACATGACTTACGGATTTCGCCCTGACAGGACAGTTTCTGTTTGTGTTTTGGTTCTCTGTCAGACGCTCTGAGCTCAGAGGGGAACCCCACCCTCCGTGTGACCCGGGCACACTGGCCGTGTCACGTGACCCCAGTTGCCTGCGAGCCAAGCATTTCTCTGGGTGACATCATGCCCTTGCTGATTGCCCAGGTGTTTCAGGGCCTCCCTGGGCTGACACGGAATTTGCATCACTTCTGTTACTTGGCTCTTGATTTGTTTGTCTTTGGTTAATAGCAAATCTGGATTGGGGTCGAGGGAAGTTGTTGAGACAACCAGACAGCAAACACGTCCCACAGAAGCTTGGCGGGACTTGGACCTGCGGCTCCTGCCCTTCCTCAACCCCAGGAGCCATCACAGGTCTTCTGGGCTCAGGCCTGAGGCAGAGAGGTTGCTGGTTCAGACTCTCTAGCACCATCCCGGGACTTACTTCAGATTCGGGACCTCTCTGGACCAGCCTCGAAGGCTCAGAACCAGGCGTTGCTGAGACTTATGCTTTTACGTGGCTCTCTCCTCACTTCCCCCCTCTTCAGGGGGGCCAGCGCCAGAGGACCCTGGATTTCTCTCCTTCCCTCTGCTCTGGCCATTTGCCTGGAGTCAGAGCTCAGCCTTCCCACCTTCCACTAACCTTGGGTCCATGGGCAATCACTTCCCAGACCCATGGAGGGCCAGGACTGAGGGACTCTGCAGAGACCCCCCCCCACCCCCATTACTTTATGGGGAAGGAAACCCAGGCTGGAGGGTTTCTTAATCCATTTTTCTCACCCACCAATTTCCAGCAACCTTCGCCTCTCTGGCCTCAGTTTGCCCATCTGCCGAGGAGTGGGAAACAAACCCCATTCTCCCAACCGCAGGATGAAGACTGGGACCAGCTGGGTTTGTGAAAGGGCCTATTACGCCATTGCTCCAGAGGTTCTCAAGCTTGAACATGCATCTGAATGCCCTGGAGGGCTTGAAAACAGAGGGAGGCTCCTCCCTCCCACCCCAGGGTTTCAGTAGGTCTGTGGTGAAGTCAGAGAATTTGAACATTTTCAGACGATGCCGGATGTGGCTGGTTCAGGGACCACACTTTGAGAAGCACTGCTCTAAATCTCCGGAACTCACCCAAAAGAGAGGCAGTGTGTGCTGGAGCCTCTCACGCTGGCTCCAGGAAGTTGGTAGCTTGAAATCAGCCACAGTGGGAGTATTCACACCTCGGAAATCAGTAAATGCTGCAAACCAGTTTTGTTTGTTTTTTTTTGCCAGGGAGCTAGCTGGTAAACATTTACCGGCACACCGCTGGGTAAGAGGGCAGCCTTTCTCTCCCTCTGTGCCCCAAGACTGGGGTGCCGTGCCTCAGAAACAGGACAGGAAAGCTCAATCAGAACTCTCTGCGCCTCCATTTCATTGTCTGTAAATTGGAAACACCGATAGCATCTACCTCACTGGCCCACAAGAATTAAGTAAGAAAGTACCCGTGAATCCCTTAGCAAAGTACTCGGCGTAGAGTAAGTGCTCAAAAATATTAGCTCTTGTCATTAAAATCCTTTGGATTATAGGGAATCTGTATTTTGTTCCCACAAGATTATAAAGTGCTATATAACCGTACTCCTGGGAGGGGTGGAGACCATGCCATTCTGAGCTTCACAGCTTTGGGGTGCCTGCTGGTACCTAGTCCTCCTTCTCTGGGGACCCCCCCCCATTGCACAGTGTGAGCCCCACCCAGCCCCCGTTTGTAATGTGTGACACCCCTGGCCGTAGCTGCTTACAATAGATACTCTGGGGTTCTCAGAGTCTCTTTCCTGGGAACTTGGACCTGGAGCCCAGAGCCAGCCTATAACTCACCACCTCAAGGTCAGTGGGGCAAGCAGGCTCTGCCAGCAGCCAGAGGGACCAAGGAAGGGCTGCAAAGAGAAGGGGTGGAGCAGGTGGGCAGAGGCAGGCACGGGAGTGAGGTGGAGAAAGAGTCCTGAGGACACCCCCGCCTCTGAATCTGGGCTCCTCTAGAAGTTCTGCTGCCCTGCCCTGGGCCTGCATCCTCTCAGCCAATGTCCACTGTGGCTTAAGTCATATCACGTTGGCTTCCGTTAATTGCAACCTGAGAGTCCCAACTTCTCCACTGACTCTGCTCTTTGCTCACCCCCACCTGCCCCAGCACAGGCTTGGGGCCCGTGCCTGCTCGGCCCTGCCTGCTGTGGGCCTTGGGCAGGACTCAAGGCCTCGCTTCTTCCATCTGCTGGTTGAATATGGACTTGGGCGGAAGCGAGCCTCCTTCTGAATTTTCCCCGTTATATGAAGAGAAATGAATATTCCCGACATTACCTACTCAGTGTCACCCCTGCTTAAGACCCTGCAGCAGTCCCACCCCACCCCCGCTGCTCTTGGATTGACTCCAGGCTCCCTTCCTGCACTCTAGACACTGCCTGAGCCTTTCCTGGCCCCTCTCCGACCTCCACTCTCACCTCTTGACTCTGAGGGATATGGACCTGCTGGCAGTTCCCCAAGACCGCGTGTTCTCTTTTGGCTTCTCTCTGTGCAGAACAGAATTTCCCCAAGCCTACAGCCAACTACCAAGCATTCTTCAGGCTCCCCCTTCGGTGTCACTTCCCCTGGGCCGTCTTCCCTAGCACGGCCCTGGCCGTGCCCCTGTGCCTCGCACCCTGTGCAGTCTCCCATTGGCGCGGCCTGTACCACACCACAAGGTCCCAAGTGCAGGGGCCAGATGCAGGCCCCTCTTGTTTCCCCAGGTTCCACATTGTAAGGACTCAGTGGATGGTTAAATAAATGTTGTGACCTGAGGAAAGGGGGGCTCCAGAAACTCAGGGGCCATCACCATTGTCCGTGGTGACCTCCAGAAAATCAAGTTTCCAGAGGGAAGAAAAGGAGAGGAAGGGGTGAAGGCAGCCCTAAAATGGGTCAGGTAGAGTGCCTGCTGGGCGATCAGATAGAAAGCTCTCCTGGAAGAGAAGGTGCAGATTGAAGAGAGAGTGACATTGGCAGGACGGAGGCAGTGTGAGGTGTAGCGGGTAAAAGCACAGAATCGGGAGGGAAGGTGAGGAGGAGAAAGAGGAACACGAGCCCTGGACATTGGACTCCCCTTCCTAGACCTCAGGCTGTGCTTGTTCCCTAGAGGCTCGGGCCGCGGTTGCTCATGGACTTGCTGGTGGCTCAGCCGCACGATCGACACGTGTGTCTAACCTGAAGGAAGTCCCCTGTAACCTCACCTAAAGGAAGCTGCTTGGAAAGTTACCGCAGATACAGGGATTCCCTTGCCCTACTCAGCTCGCTAAAGCCCCTCTCCAAAGCCAGCCCTGCTCGGAGGCCCTGGACAGGGAGTGGTCACGGTGCCCAGTGCCGGGCGGCGCGTCAGAAGGCCCTTGGCTTCCCCCTCACCGGCTCCAGGCTGGCTCCTTTGCGAGGCCAGCCAGAGGGCTGGATGGCTCACCTCCCTTGGGCACAGGTCCCATCACAGCATTGCTCCAGCCATGGACGTCATTCCCCAGTTACCGCAAAATAGGGTTACAGTTTCTCCCATGGTGTGGAAATCCCAGGAGCCCTCTCAACCACCTGGGCCGAATACAGAAGTTGGGCTTCTGGTCCATTAAATTCCCAGTCCAGGAAGCCTCCGGTATGAGGCTTCCTTGTAATCTGTGATCTATTTTCAGGGCTGCCCAAGAAAGACTTCATTAGTTTAGACATTAGGACTTTAATAGATGATTCTACTAAAGTTGGGTACACAAAGAAGAAGCTGAGAGAGTTTAGAGAAAGCCTACACTCACCTGCCTTCCCCAGCAACTTAAGAGCTAGTTTTACCCCTAAGAGTTTATAATCTAGGTGGGAAAAGAAAATGAAGGTGCATTACATAAAACTGTGGAGAACAATTAAATATTAACCGGTGTGGTGCTCGCTGATTGCAACAGGACTATAATGTGGCTCAGAGAGCCAGTTCTGCGTCAGAGAATTCACGGAGAAGGGAGACTAGAGCTGGGCCTGCAGCGGGGGGATTCGGGTCAGTGGAGAAGAGAAGACAGGTGTTCCGGGGAAGGGGACCTGCATGAGCAATTGCCTGTAGAGTATGCGGGACAGGAGGCCTGGATTAAGCAGAGGTTGTACATTAAATGCAGGAAGATAAGATTAGCGAGAGGGTGAGAGAGGGGATGCGTGTTGCAGGAGGTGGAGGCGGGGGCGGTTATGAAGTGTTTGCACGCCAGCTCGAGGAGCTGGGGCTGATGGAAATGGTGGGAGGAGGGCGGGGTGAGGGAGGGGAAGCATTGGAGGGCTGAGGGGTGGGGAGGGAGCTGAGGAAATTTCCAGCAATTGCTGGCCACCAGCAGGCATGGGCGGCTGACTTGAGGGCTGAGGGAGCGCTCTTCCCTCCGGGCCCCGCACCCTGCCTGGGCGTCAGGGGCTCTACAGGCCCCTCTGATAAGGGTTGCCAGCAGATAGGTCACACGCTGCCCCAGGTACCCAAGGTGGCCAGCCTGTCACAGGCCCTGGGGAGCCACTGCAGGATCCGGCACTTCAACAGGCATTTTGAGGGTAGCTGCTAGGCGCAGAGCACCACAGGGAAGCAGAGAGAAGTGAGGCGGGCTTCCTGCCCTCCAGGGAGCCCAGTGTGCGGGAAGAGAACAGATGTGGAGGACAGCGCTGACGGAAGGCCAGGTGCGGGCCGAGTTCCCAGGCTGCGGGGGAAGCAGGGAGTTTAGTCCTGACTGGAGAAGGAACATCTGTGGAGGGCGTGGGGTTTGTACACCTCAGAGAGGGAATTAGAGGCACTCTCTGCCCGGCAGGAAAGATGGATAGACAGGGAGGGAGAGCTTCCAGTGAGAGAACAAAGAGAGCTCAGGCAGAGGCTGCAGACCTTGCGACCTGCCCGCAGGAGGGTCCGGCGACCTTGTAAGGGAGGCTGGGGACAGAGGTGGAAGTGTGGCTGGAGGCAGATGCCGTGCCAGTTCGGGAGAAAGAAGGGCTGTGGGTCCAGGGATCCGCGCGGCATTCACGGGGCGCCTGGTTTGAGGTGTAGATGTCAGGGCACAGGGAGGAATAGACAGGCCCAGCACCAGCAGTCCCCAGGCCAGTGGAGGAGGCTAGAAACAGGGACTTCTGCTCCGTGTGGAGAATGCTCGAATTCTGTGGGTGCACAGAGGACGGCGTGGTGAATTCTGCCCCAGACCTGGGGTGCAGTCGGGCTGGGAAGATACGTGGGCTGGGCTCGGGGCCCTGGGGAGAGGTGAGGGTTTCCTGGGTTGAGGGAGAGGGGGTTTCGGGCAGAGGAGTCAGCACGACGAAGGGGTTGAAGCTAGAAAAGAGCAAGGCACAGAGACCAGCAGGGTAGTGTAGCCAGAGCTGCAGGCTGTGTGTGTGTGTGTGTGTGTGAGAGAGACAGACAGACAGAGAGACAACAGGCAGAAAGAAAGAGGAGGGAGGGAAATAGAGAGCGAGAGAGCTGGGAGGTGAAGCAGAAGCGGCAGATTGGGGGCCAGCCTGGGAGGCCCTCAGCTGTCCTTCCAGGGGAGCTGGGCATCACTCTTATGCGATGAGGAGCTGAAGCGTCTCTGAGCGGGAGCAATGCGCTAGGAAGTGAATTCTGACCTCTGCATGGAGGAGGATGGAGGGGGCAGAGCCAGGAGGCAGGGACACGTTGGGGGCCGGGGCACTCCCACCTAAGAGGAGAAACACAGAAGATAAGAAGGTCTGTGGGAGCAGGATGTGAGTTCTGTCTCGGACATTTTGAGTCTGAATCGCGTGGGGCGATGTCCAAGAAGAAGTGGAAAATGCTGGAAATCAGGGCAGAGGTCAAGCCCCTGAGGAGCGCTGCCTCAAAGCCTGAACGGGACGAAGAGAATATCTAGGAGGTGGCCACAGCGGTCACGTGCCAGATGGCCCCGGTGGCAGACGCGGGGCAGGAAGGGAGGGCCCCTCGGGAGAGATGCGGGTGGAAGGAGGGTCAAGACACACGGGGGGCGGGTGAGTTTGGATATGAGCCTGTTTAGTCTTGAGGGGGTGGGACATTGTTGTCAGGGTGCTCGAGCCACTTACCCTATGCAGAGGTGCCCGATGTGCGTGAAAGGAGTGAGAGGGAGGACGGGGACCACAAAGTGGCCGGCGGGGAAGGCAGTGATGGCCGAGCCTCTAAGAGCATCCAGCCCCCTGGCCCCAGCTGTCACCCTGACCCTGTGTGTGAGTGAGCGAGCCTGGTGCCACACTCAGCGGGTCCTGCTGGGAGTGGAGGGCTCTGGTTCTCATCACCGAGCCCCATCCCCGCCCAGAAGCCCCTTTCCCATGCGCCTCCCCCACTGTTTCCTGGTGATTCCTGATGTGGGCCGGGACCCGGCAGGACTGTCCAGGTGTGCGTCCTGCCACCAGTAGACCAGGAGCTCTCTGAGCATGGGGACCCATGTCTCCCTTCTTCCTCTTCCCTACAGAGTCCAGGACGGGGCCCACGCATGCCGGGGGCGGACACCCCACGTGGCACTCAGTCTCCCAGGCAGACGGGGGTGCCTCAGATCGCGTTTCTTCTCGGCAGGAACTTGGGCCAGATCCCACAGGCACGCAGACCTGTGGCTGCCCCAGACTCCTGGCTGGACAAGGTCACTCAATCCAGGCAGCAGTGTAGCTTTCTCCTGACTCATTTGCCTAATCTGTTCCAAATGGATGAGACGCCCAGCATTCGGGGTGAAGGGGCAGAAGAGGGTTCTTTGTATCCAGACCTGCTCAGTCCACCTGTCCCAGAGTCTCCACGTTATTAAATGTTTTCTGGTTCCTATGGCAACCGAATCACACAGCCAGGATTTTGTTATTGTTCCAGGGAAAAAAGGGAAGGGCCACAGCGTGAGGACTGACGTCCGTGCACCATCCATCAACCAGGCAGCTGAGTCACCACCACGGTCTGGTGCATCCATGGAGTCACCTCCCTGTGGTCTGAGGCTCCCACTGGCCTTCCCTCTTTGGCAAGAGGCTGGTCCCAGTCTGTGTCTGTCGGCAAGCGTGGGTAACTGGGCACCCTGGTGTGCTGAGTCCTGCCGTGTGCACTTCTGGTGGCTAGCGGGGTAGAGAGGAAATTTCCTGAAGGAGGCACAGTCCTGCCTCCAGGGAGTGAGAGCTCATGAGGCTGGGGATGCATTTCCTGTCCTTTCAGAGCACACGTGTATTCACAGGCAGTTTCTAGGGCCACCTAGCAATTGACTTAGAATACGACCTCAGCCAAGTCACCTGGCCACTCTGAGCCTCAATCTCCTTATGTATAAGATGGGGAAACAGGTACTTTCTCACCAGGCTGAGAGGGGAGAGAAATGAGACTGTGCCCATAAGAGCTCCGCACCAGCCTAGTTTCCACAAAGAACTCGATAAGCATGCACTTCCGTGGCTGCTGACCGGCTAGGTGCTGGCCGCACATCTCAGGACCACCCTATGCAGAAGGTGAGGCAGAGGGAGCTCTTCTACTCCTTGAAAACACATGCCAGCCCCCCGTCGGGCAGCCATGGGCGGCCACGATGGACGCAGCCACCTCCCTCCACCACCGCCAAGGATTGGAATAAGAAGCTTCACTCGCCCAGACACAGAAGGGAACAGAACAAGAAAGTCAGTGGGTCAGCCGGAGGGGTTGGGTCAGCAGAGGTGTGGGAAGAAAGGAGGGGCCGTGAGGCAGGCACTCCGGAGAGACGGTGCTTAGGCCACCCAGACCTGCTCCGGTCTTTGAGGAAGGCCCTCGCCCTAAGGCTGTGTTGGCCAGGCACCTCCTGATGACAGCCTGGCTTTCTGGATAGAATTTCCCACCAGAGAAAGGGTGTCAATGGGAGAACATGCCTCTCAGGCCCACCAGATGGCTGATTCCTCACCGGGGCTGGCTGAGTCAGAATGGAGGTATCTATGCTCGTGTTGGGTGCAGGTCACCCCTGAGCCCAGCCATCTCGGAGCGTCTAACCAACACAGGTTTCTAGCTTACAAAGTGGAAACTGGGCCCCGGGAATGGGATGACCACAGAAAGGAAGTACCCCCAAAAAGGAGTCCAGCCTTCCCCTAAGGGAGCCCCATAAGACACCCACTGTACAGACTCATCCGACAGCTCCCCCTCCTTGGCATGTTCCACGCTGACCTCTGCCAGATGCCATAGCCAGGCCAGCTGACAGCTGCCTCCCCCGGACTGGCCCTATGCAATGCTTTTCAAACTGGGAATCGAGACCCATAAGTGAGTCATGGTATTAATTGAGTGGGTGGGATGAGCATTCTTCATAATTAGCCAGAACAGGGTCACGTATATCAGAGTGCCTCGTGGGGGGTAAGAGTGAGTGTTATTTCATGAGTCTTTCATGTGTGTGTGTGTGTGTGTGTGTGTGTGTTGTATGTGTGAACACATGTACTATATGGATACAGCAATAGAAAGATGGCACATTCTGATTGGGTCGTTTGTGGGCATTTAATAAAGGAACTATTTACAAAGACGTGGGCAGGGTGTAGGGAAGTCACAAGAGAATTGTGAGGCTTAGTTATCACCCTCAGGCTTAAGGCTTGAAGGTGGAAGGTGTTTCCAGAACTTGGAAACAGAGTGATGAGGCGAAGGCTCAGACAGGACCTGTGATCATCAGCCCGATGGGGAATGAATACTTACCCTCCCTCCTCTCCCTCCCTCCCAGCTCCTGCTGGGCTGCCCACTAATTGAGCCCAGGAAAGCCTGAGGGCCGGCAGCCACGGACCCAGTCCATGTGTGGAAAAGGCCAGTACCTAATGTGTGCGTGGGATGCAATGTAAAATGGCACCGCACTTCTTACTGTGAGTCTCAGTTAATGAAGTTTTAAGCACCCTGGAACCATGTGCCTGAGGCTGAAATTACTGCCAGGAAGAGGCAAAACGTTTCTGAATGGCCCCAGATCAGGGCTTTGGGTGGCAGCTAAGACCAGTGAGGAAAGGGCTGTCCTGTTCTCAGCAGGTGGGAGTGCACCCATCCTCCAGATATGCCAGGATGGAGGTGCCCGACAGTGGGGCTGAGCAGAGCCAGTGTCACAGGCTGGGGCTGAGGTCACAGAGGAAGAAGGGCAGGAGAGGGGAATGGGTGGGAGAGAGGAACAAAGGGGCCTGTGGTCAGGACACCCACGCCAGGCAGTTGCTTCAGCTCCCCAAGGACAAAGGGCAGGGTTCTATTTCTAGCTCCCGTGGGAGCAGGAGACAACAACCTTCTTGCTTTTCACACACTTGAGGTCGGCTCACTAATCCTCGCGTGGTTGTTCTGGACTCACACAAAACCGTCTCTGAGCCTCGTTTCCACGGCCC